CAGGTTGGTGGTGCCAAGATTAAATAATCATTGGCCTTTGTTGGTATTTTGTTAGAAGTAGACAAACTGTTAAGTGATGATTAGTGCCTAATTGTGCACCATCATTTGGAGAATTAAGCAATGTGTTGCTCAGAACTTGTTTTGTTTATTGTGTGTAGTTTCCTAGAGAGGGGTGACTACAGCAGTAACACGCTGCCCTCACTATGAGGGGTGAGTACAGCAGTAACACGCTGCCCTCACTATGTACACACTCCTACTAGTGTAGGGCTAATGAACCCACAGGACTTTGGAGCCAGTCTTAAGTGATACAGTCTTGTTGGAGCTATCTGCTCAGCACAGCCCAGCCCAGACAGTCATGTTAAATTTTTCAGGGCCATATGATCTGCCTGTGCTGTTGGATTGTATATATAGAGCAGTGTGTGTATGTGTGTGTGCGCACCTGCTCCCTTGTCTTGGTCACATCCACTGGCCCTGGGTTTGCAACTTGACAAGTGAAACAGTAAACTCGGCCTCTGTGTCAAGGAAACATGGATACCTAGAGTAGGATTTCAGTGTTTTCTTTGTTGCTCATCATCATCTAATTATAATTATTTGTACAAGGGCCAAGCTTCCTGTGTATTGACTTGTCCAATAAGATTATTTTAAGAGTTTTTCTCAAACAAAAAAAAAAATCATAATTATCTCCAGTGTTGTTAATGATTTGGTACCACTCTCTGACATGGCACCATTTATAAAGGGTTATAAAGCTGTAATTAATAGATTTATTAATGGTATAAATCATTTTCTGATGCTTTATAGATCAGCCAGAAGGCATTTGCGGTGCAAGGATGTGGAAATTCCTTCTCCAGCAACAGCAACACTGTGCTTATGTTTTTAGCTTTTTAATTTATTAGTGCAACCTCTCCACTTATTGACCATTTATTAAAGGGTTGCAAGACATCAAGACCAAAATCCATTTATAAACTGCTTATTAACATATATAACTGATTTTATTATGGTATACCGTTTATTAAACTATTAGTAGAGTTTGATGAGCTGTTGATATGCATGCGAAACCTGTCTTTTTTTGCATTTTTAAGAAGTTCCCATTCTGTTGCATCAGTGTTCCCCCTTTATGTTCTGGTAATAACAAATGTCAGTCACCATCAGTTATAAATGATAATTAAATTGTGGGTTCTGGAATCCGTCAAATGTACAGCGCTTTAGAAACATTGTCAAGATGGAGGGGAGAGTGTTGAATTTAGCTGGTGAACTAAAACATTATACATATATAAATAATGTCTAGTTTAGCTCTGATGACTGGTTCATGACATTCAGGACAGGTACTGTCCTTCTACTTTGAGAGAGATGTTTGGGAGGAGGACTGGGCTGGCACTGAGCTAGGCGTTAACATCTTTAGTTGACCATCTTACCTCTGAATATCTGTCATCCTCTCCAGAGAAGAAGCCCAATGTGATATTTGCCCTGACCCAACATGGAGGCCACCTGGGCTTCTTCGAGGGAGCTGTGCTGTTCCCTCAGCCTCTCACCTGGATGGACAAGGTCATAGTCGAGTACTCCGACGCCATCTGCCACTGGGCAAAGAACCGCCCAGCCTGTCAGGACAGCGGCCACCTTGACATCAGCTCCTGCCAGCAGAACACAAGGGTGCCACTCAATGGGTAGCACATACTGTACATAAAGTACATGTCTGGAGACAAGTAGGCCAAAATGAGGACAACACACAGACACATACTCAGGCTTTTGTATCAGCTCTACTTCATTACTGATGGCCTCTCAGTTCAGACAGTAATTGTGGGACATGTAGGAAATCATGAGAGCAGGCTGAGTGGAAGTGAGTAAACCTAAATGGAAATGAATGCTTGCAGAGATAATAATAGCAGTAAGTGTAATATGACCCCATGTTCCTTCCGCTTTTCTTCCCACTCACCTGAATAGGAACAGTTGTTTGTCCTCTGCTGGTTTTTGTTGCATTTTGAGCTGGACAGCAGCATGATGTAGCCGGCAGGACGCTGTACTTCAGCCACTGGCTTTATCATACATGAATTACTATTGGAAACCTTCACAGATACTCATATTTTTACTGACTAGTAAATACATAAGCTTCTCTAATTCAGCGTACACACAATTTAGTGTTAATACACAATTAAATGTGCCAAAAAAATGGGTGAGCATTCAGAAGCTCAGAGAAAACTGAAAATTCATCTTAAAGTGCAAAACCTTAACAATGAATCCCACAACAGTTATGTTTTGATAGTTTTGTTATACCCCTGTTTCCACTAAGAGAACTTTGCTGTTATTGCAGCCTTACTGTATTATGTTAAATAACTCATTATGCTCATTTTGACAAACACGCTCAGGCTTTTCTTTGCATTTCCTTTGTGTCCACTGGGCCATCAGGCTATACTGTTTCTGCTGACCTCCAAAATAAAAGAATGAGGGCACCAGGATCTTTAAGATTTATATAAACACAGAGAAATTATTTTTGATTTAATAATGCTTTTTTTGCCAGTCCTTTCTGTGCTGTTGAATGGAAAGATGCCCTGTAAAAACCCTTCTAGGTCAGCTTGTCCGGTTCCATGAACACTCCACAGTGCTTTAAAAAGAGCAGGTCACAGCAGTTAATACTCTAACGCCTGCTGCCACAGTGGAGTCACGTGGTTTAATTCCCTAAATTCGACTGTGTAGATGGATTGTTGCCACAGAAAATGTCCTCTAACAAACATACAATCCAGGGCAGGAGATCATCTGAAAATACACTGGATGAAAGAGTTATTCAGGACAGAGCTGGGTCAAAAAGTGTTTACAATATTACAACAGAAAAAGAAGTGCACAAGGGACACAAACGGTATCTGTATAAAATGAGAAAATGCACTTATCAAACAAATGACGCACATGTACATTTTATCTCATTTGCTCAGCTTCTGCTGTTTTTGCTGTCCTCAAATAGAACGGGGCTTCTTATCTGAGATTACTTTAAAAAAGGACCAACTGATAAATTTCATAAGGTGTTTTGGGTTTGTTTTTAGCTGCTTGTTGCTACATACCAAATGGGTAAAGCTTGTCATGATAATCAATGCAATGAAAGGAAGAAGAAAGGCAGTGAAATATTGTTTTATATTAAAACAGAAAGCGTGAAAACTAGCGCACAAGCCTTAGCTCTGTTATGTGTCATGACACCATATATTTCCTGGAGAAATGTACTGATAAATACCTTAGACACAGAAAATCTGAGGTGACTTTTATGTGCAGGAATCCTGTTTGTTTGCTGTGGTTTGTTCTGGGTCTTTTTCATCACCAGTTTGAGAAGTGCCTGTAATGTGCAGGTTTGATATTAATCAGTTTCCTGTGAGTAGTATCATGTCAGACACTGTGTAAATGCAGTGAATCTCACCCAAGCTCACGCCTTATTAGTCACCATTCAATCATCAGATTTAATACAACTTTATTTCACTATCTGCCTTTTCAGCCTGCAGTGGCACCGTTACTGCATCTATATGTGCATTATGTCTGGAATGTTATAGGTATGGACCGTTTTGCCTGCACTTGACTATTTTTACACTTACTGTATGGCACTATAGTCTGTATCAGCACATGGGTGTAACATTTGTAGTCTATTCATAATGTCATTTATTCTGACACATCTTTGATATACGAGTCAAATTTGAATTTGCCTGATAATAAATATTTTTACAAAAAAATTATGCCTGTTTATTTTAACCTGACAGAGGATTTCCTTTTTAATTTGTAGATTCATGCAAAGACTGCTTGCAAAGAATTGAAATCTGTGTAAGATAGGTCATCCACATTTGGTCGTCTTTATTTTTTGTTCAAAGTTACAGTAATGCAGTTGTGAGGATTGCTGTTTGCCAGCGAACTCTGACGTCTTCAGTCTTTGAATGCACCAACATAGGAAACTTCACTGCAGGTCCTGCCTAACTGTGCAAAAACACTAAATGGTCATTATGAATGGCCTATTCAAGCCAGGTTGAAGTTTGATTTTGACACTATACAGGTATGAATCAGTGGTTGCTTGAAAAGCAGGAAACCATTCTTAAAAATGTGATATGATTTGCTAAAGATTCTACACTTATGCATTTAAAAGTCTATAAATAATGGTTTAAAACTGCAATGGATAGCGAACTGGCTTTGGCCATAGATGCTAAAACTGAGGAACTATAAGGAGGAACTGTATAACTAATGGTCATATTAATGACAGGAGGATGAGCGATTTCATGAGTGGAAGTAGCTCCTGTCTGTGCTTTGTCTGGACCTATGGAAAACTTGAATTTCTCACACTCTCTTGACTTTCAGTCATAACCTTTTTTCCCCTACACCACGCAGCTAGACGGGATTTGAGTCTCCACATTTTATGGGCTTTGTTCTTCGCCTGGTTGAAGGAGTGTGTTTAGTCAAACAGCTTGGCTGCTGTGGCCTTGCCGTCGTAGTTGGCACCTTTTCCGTCAAACTCAGAGGGAAGGATTTCAGCGTCAAACTCCCTGTAGTAGTTTTCCAGCTCGTCTCCGTGGACGAACACCTAGAGAAAGGACAACAGCTGTGGCAGTCATTTGAGACTGTGGGTGTTTGCAACACCTACAGTACCTACCTTACAGAAATAAATGGTCATTTGATTTAAGTGGTTATCTATAATCCTCAGAAACCAAACGGGAATACATTAAAACAGCAGTCGCTTAAAATCGGCATAACGGCAACTTTAAAGCTGCATTTTAGGGTAGTATGGATATATTTAAGTCAACAGATTATAGTTGCTAACCAGAAAATATGCAAAGGCAGTGCCAGGGTTGTAGCAAGGTCCACCAACAGGAAGCATAAGGAAACACATTACGTCATCAAACAGCAAAACAAACTTCAATCCTAATGAATCTGTGTATCACCTTCAAAATGAAAATATTAACTCTTAGTTATTATGATATTAACCGGTGTACCTTTATTTTTACGGGTCCCTACGTGAGCGTACTGTAGTTACAATGCCTGAGTATCATATATGCATTTTATATATTTATTATGAAAATGCTGCACTACAACCAAACAACACTTTCGACCGTTGCACCTCAGAGACTGTAAGGGGCTACATACAGGAGCAGCCGTTCTGGTGTCTAACTCACTCTCTCTAGTAGCTTGCTCTTCATGAGTGGTTTGACCACATTGTATGTGGTGGTGAAGTACCAGGGCTGGTGAATGAAGTGCACAGCTTTGAAACGAGCAGGGAATGAATCCTGGTGGGAAAGAAGAACATAAAATGGCTTCTCAATAAAACCTTCAGTGGAGTCCTGCAGAAAACAAAGCTAAAAGCTAGAATATTTAAACTTTCCATGGATATTTCTTTTCTGCTCTACTGCTGCAATTCATAGCTACAAACATTTTTACACAGAAGAAAACATATGACCACTAAGCTGCTCTTCTGAAGCGGTCCGTGGTTAAATGCTTTCTAAGCATCACCTGGGTGTTAGGCAAGAAAAGATAAGACATTCTTCACTTTTCCACAATCTAAATATCTACAATTGTCTGTGAGCAACACTGTCATAATAAGAAAACAAAATCATATGTTCCACTTATCTCTATCCATGCATAGGGTAACTTTAACTATAGAGGTATGAAAACTTATTAAAGCCTAATGCAAACTTGGAAGTTTTCTATAATATCTAGGTATCCCTCCCTGTCATCTGATTGTAGTAACCAACTAGTCCTGGGCATGAATGCGTTTTCCCACCTGCAACATGTCCACCATCTTCTTGAGCTCAGTGGGTTTGATTCCTGACGCCTGCTGCATAGTGAAGCCCTTGAAGTTCTCAATGATACAGAACCCGTTGATCTGAGTTTCCTCGCTCTCCAGCAGCTTCTCCAGGATCACACAATAGGCACGCAGGATCTGACAGATACACACCATGTTTACTGGTCAAGTCAATTTGAAATCTTAAGCACATTTCTTGTTTTCTGTTAACATCTGGAGGTTGGGGTGATGTGGTAAACATTTATGGCAAAATCAAATTGGCACAGCAAATGACAGAAAAATCAGTTTGTACCATTTTGAATGAAGAGTGAGTCTGGCATTTCTTACTTCATCAAAAGTGATTTCCTCATAGTCCCAGTTCTCGACGTTGAAGAGGAAAACCACACGGCCGTATTTGTCTCTGCTGTGAAGGATGCCGGGGTAGCCTGCCTCAATGGTGCTGCGTACGGCCTCTGGGGTCAGATTCTCAAACAGCTCAGGATAATTTCTCCTGAAACGCACGTAGCCTGGACAGAGACAAGAGCAGACTGTAGGAGGTTGGCAGTTTTTGGTATCAAGTATCCACTTGTTTTCATCTATTGCTAAAATGATGGCAACAACAAATGTCTGGAAACCCTAAATCATTATCAATACTTGGCATGAAAATTATCACTTGCAAAGAAAATTCATCCTGATGCATTTTTATTGGTGCAAAAATACTTACACTGATGTGTCTTCAGAAGCATGTGTCATGTGAGACCTGTTAGCTTTTCTTTTCTTCTCAAATTAGCTGTTATTAGACAGCTATGACATACTGTCTGTCCCTTTGTTTCTACAGCTGTCAGTCATATGGTTGATTCACCATAGACTGACAGATTTTGACAAAGAAAGTCATTATCATCCTTAGATAATACTCGTTTTAGAAGTTTTAAAAACTGGCAACATAATTATACATTTTATGGACAATGGTGGAAAAGTCTGCCTCCTGACATACCCTTCATTAGCTCGAAGGCTCTGGGCACGTCGAACTTCCTGGCACGGATGAAGCGGACCAGCAAACTGTCTGGTTTCTCCCCAAAGGTGTCCTGCACCCCCTTGACCAGGTCGTCACCTGTATCGGCTTTCTCCTTAATCAGTCCTCGCAGCTCCTTCACTGCAGACGCCCGCTTCTCATCCATCTCATTGAGCTCATCCTTGGCCTGAAGGGGTAGGAGAGGGACAGCTAGCCCACATTTTATATTTAGACAGCTTAGTTACTCACTGTCATAAAGCAAATTAAACATTTATCACTGTGACTGATATTATCATTGTTTGAAAATAATACCAATTCAGATTTTTAAGATTTTACTTGCTTTTGATATAGTTTATTTTAAATGACACACTGTTATCTGTATAGGATGTACAGGATGTAAAGAATGCAATTAATACAACTGTGCCATAACATCCATCTTTAAGAAGCTCATGTTTCAGTTTTTAGTGAAATAATCAGAAATGTATAAATTCAAGTATAGGTTCATTAGTAAGGTGATAGCTAAAGCCTATAATCAGAGGTGTTCCTAATATTTGAACCCCTCAAATATGTAAATTGGGAGGATAAAAAGAAGTGTACATCACCATCAAATTCTTGCCATTTTTTGTTGTGGGAGACTTTGACCCAGCTAGTGTGTTAGCCTTCAAAGCTAACATATGGGAACAGGCTGGTTGGGCTTCCCAGTTAGTGTTTGAGTCCTAGATAATGAAGCTAACAAACTATTCTTTTCTCATGTTTGTAGTGTTTCCATGAGAAATGTGTTTAACAAAAGATTGTAATGATAGTAAGGAAAAAGTATTGCATTTTGGGTTGGAACAGCAAATGTTTTTCAGCCGGCACTGACCTGCTGTCTTCATTAGTCACTGTATATTAACATAAAATGATAAAATAGTATTGTCAACATATTTATTCTACACTTACACGCAGTTCAATATGTCATATGTAAATTAATATTAGACCTCTGATCAAGTTGAAGTTGTACCAAGCTAAGCTGCAACTTTAGGAACTGATGATAGTGATAAAGGTCAAGGTTTATGCACACCCACATGGGAAGAGAGACAAAACGCCTGTGTTGGTGTATTGTGGGCGTGTGTAGGGCCTCAACTATTTTATGTCCTAATCCATCTGAATCTAGTGCACCTTGCTTGTTTGCCCATGTGAGAACACGTCATGGTACCTTCTGCCTGGTGTGGTCTGGCAGGCTGGCATAGGGTCCAAACACTGGCCCGTGGTCCTTGATGGTGAGACGTTCCAGCTTAGCCCTGAGAGCCTGCTCCTCCTCTGACACCATACGATAAGTTCCACTCTGGAAAAAAAAAAGGAGATAATCAGTGCAACACACAAAAACATACAGCAGGGCTCATTGTGTGTTTGGTTAATCTCCCTCACATGAGTTTGGTAAAGCCCGCAAATACACAGCAGTAGATGTGAAGGGGGGGATAAGAGATTAGCAGCTAAGGCTACTGAAACTGCTGGCAGCATCCAGAACAAAAGGCTTTAGTCTTGCTGAGCTGCAGCTGAGTCCACGTTACAGGTGTTTCTTCTTGGAGAATGCTATTTTCTGAAGGGGGGGGTAATTACTCAGTCACAGCCCCATCCTCCTCCAACACCACTGTTAAAGCTTAGTTTGGAGATAATTAGCTCTCTGAGTAAAAACTGGCCAGAACTCTTTTAAGCAAGCAAAAGTGAAGGTACTTACAACCACAGCCATGTCTCCTGCTCTTTAAATCTGCTTCAGAGTCTCTGGAACAAAATGAAAGGGAGAATGTGATTCACATAAATTTCAGTAAAACAACAACAGAAACACAGTCCTCCACACTAATGCCCCCCCATCCCAGCCTCTCTGCCATCACCGGGTACTTTGATTGCGCTATAATTAGCACTTGCCCATTCCAGGATGAATTATCAGATTTGAGGTCTACAAAGTTTTGTTTTCATAACCAACAGGCTCGTACTCACTGTGAGGGCTTTAACTCTTTAGTATCATACAGATACATTCTGTTTAAGCATAAATGCCCAGAGATTCAGCATGTATGAAAAATCTGTCATATACAACTTGAACCTTAATGTTCCCTTAAATCTCGAATAAAGTAGGTAAAACATTTTTCAGGGTTTTGCAGCCCACACTTTTCTCTTAGATTAGTCGACAAAGAAAAAGTGTGATAGTTACTGAACAACAGTGATAGTAAATTGAATAGGCTTGAGTTTTGGACTGTTGGTTGTACAAAACAAGTCCTTTGAAAACATCAATTTTCAATGGGCTTTAAGATATTTTTCATTATACTAAACTAGACCAAACTACCGATCAATAGGCAGATAAATCAATAATATAAAGTTGCAGCCCTGGTCATATTTAAAAGACATCACATTGAGTGAAATATTCCAGTCCAACATGACATCTGGCTGCAGCATAGTTCAAATGTGGATTAATTTTACACACATTTGCTCTGTCACATATCTACAAACACCCTCATCATCCAAACTTTAGGTTCAGTGTGCAGACAAACTGCCATTTCTTCACACTGCTCACATTAATGTCTCCCACATACTGAAATGTTCAGGCTGACATCACCTGAAATGCCACCTGTTGTATTGTATCTGTGTAGAAAAGTTGCAAAACGTCCAAAGCAGAGAAGAGGCTAAAGCAGCACCTCAGCAGCGGAGGCCGACTCTTACCTGAGGGAGATGCGAGGCTGCTGGCGCGGAGGTCTGTGTGGAGCAGGATGAACAGGGCCTGTGATTTGTAGCGCTGGGCTTAGTGGCGTCACACCAGATCACACCTAACAGATTTCTTTGTGACTTTCAATCAGCATAAAAGTGGCACAGGGCATGAAGAAGGGGGAAAGGAGGGAGGGAGGCACTCCCATGATGAATGGCATGGTCGGGGCGCACTGTGGATGATGCAGTGTTGACTTCACACTTTAGGTAAGAGCTGGTTTCAGGGGGGAGATTTGACTGCATTCCAAGGAAACTTGGGTTGAGTGAAAAGTGACCATTGTAACTGCTGCAATGTGAACTCACTCAGCTGAGAGGTAGAGCCTGGGTTTATATGTGTTTCACATGTTTAGAGGCATGAGGATGGAAAGGTGTTCAGTCTGGCTCTAATGCTGCCATTCAAAACTCAAGCAGAAACAATATTTTCTGGAAGGCAACCTTCTGACAGGATGGATAATTTTCTTCAAATTGGAAGTTATTAATTTCAAATACACCAGTAATAACATAATTCTCTTGGCACATTATATCACAGCACTGAGAACATGATGACAAAGTACACATCCCAGTCAACTCAGCGGCCGTGCTGTGGGGTTTGTGTCTCTACATCTTGCTCCAACAGCAGCAGGTTGCTCTTTTGTGTTGCTGATGTCAGGAGTTGTCCATTCTCCTCCCTCTGACCCTGGCAGCGCTCACGTACCCCACACGCTTTCCTCCTGATGCAACAGTGAAGGAGCAGGCAGTCGGCCAGTAATCTCATAAATCAGGCCTGATCTGCTCAATAACATGATTTAGGGAACAAAATTAGATGGATTGGGTAAACAAGGCTCCTCTCTGTTCTCTCCCTATAGCCCGAGCTCTAGGCCCAAGTTCAGGCATTACCACAGAAGCGTGTGTGTTCATGGGTTTGAATGAGAAACAAAGAAGCTGAGGCACAATGACAGACAGTTCCAGAGCCATGGATCAAAACAAAATGTACAGCTCCACCAGGATGTTTAGTTTGAGTGATGTATCATAACCACATCTTAGACCTCCACTAATAAAACAACCATAAAGTTGTTGTGCATCATTTCATCTCAGTGACTCTCATGGATCCAAGTATTTAGTCAGTGGGATTTAACTGGGAGGGCTGGGAAATTAAAAAAAAACAAACATACGATTACATATTTTCTCACTATAGAGACAAACAGTATATAACCGCAGCAATTTTGTAATGATGTAATTTTATTAAGACATACAAGAGGTAATAAAATACCAGCATTACAACTCAACACTCAAGGTACACAGGTATACACATGGAGGCAGTTGCACCAGTTTAAACTTGCTGTCCCTAGTGAACTTGTTTAAAATGTTCTTCCTTGTAGACAGTGAAATACATCTTAAGAGCTGCCGCTTATAGCGCATTTTAGTATAACATAGCAGCCACTTCAGAATTTTAATGTTAAAGAGAAAAACATTTAACTGAAAGATACAGTTGTTTTCCAGTGCAGCTGTGCATGTGGCCTAATGTCAGTCTCCTGTGCTAACAGTTACATTTAACGTTTCAGGTAAGAGAAGGAACTTTTAGAGAACGCGGAGCTCTGCACATCAGGTATCCATAAACGTTGAGCACCAAACATAATCAAGTTGGTAAGGACTCAGCACATAATCAGAACTTTTCCATGGATGTATTATGAGAGCCTATTCTTCCCAGTGAAAATCACTTGCCTGACATACTGCACATGCATAGTAGGGCATCTCCCACTGCCCCAGCCTGTGCGCTTGGCCCATAGACGCTATAAAAAAAAGCCTCTGGAAAGGTTTTAGAAATATAAAACCTCCATGATTAAAAATTTATTATACAAAGAACGATAACTGCCTGGATTGCAGTTCAACGTGTTCTGTCAGCAGTTTCACAGACGTCTAGATTATCACTGTGGTCTATGGAGAAAATGCTTTTTGAACACCAGGAGGATTTTTCTGTTGAGTGGTGGCGCTGTATCCAACTCTCATAATACATCCATGTGAAATTCCCCCTACAGGAGTCATAAATACTCCCCTCTCATTGGCTGTCAGCTGTGACATCATCCGGCCAGTACTCGTCCTGCATGTAGTGGATTGAGGAGGCAAAGCTGGGCACATGTGGAGCATCGTCGTCCCTCAGCTTGTTCTGCAGTTCCTGCTCCCACTCACCCTCCACCAGCTTATAGAGGTCGAGGGCAGCCTGAGCGTCCTCCACCGAACAGTGCCCCCTCCTTCCGACCTGCAAATAAGAAAAGACTGTTTTTAATGGCATTTTCACTCATGTTTGTGATATAGAAATGGTTTAAAGACATTTTATAGATGCCCTTCAGCTGAGCATTTTCAGTGAAAAACCTTTATCATCATTAGTGATGTGTGGGATAATTCTGATAAGAAAATCTACCAAGAGAGATGTCTACAAAACTATTCCCCATTTCTAGCAGAAAGAAGGTTTCATATTTACAGGATATATGATGAGGCTACGACAGTGATTAAGTCTCACCTGTATCTTCCTGTTCAGCAGCTTACTGGCCAAGAGTCTAAGGGAGGGGCAGCGCTCTCGGGCGAAACCAGCCAACCGGCCAAGGAGGCGCGTTGTACTCGTGTCCCTGACCATGTGACACGGATGGGAAATATCCAGTGCCTCAAAGTCATTGTAGATGGAGTGACCCACAACCACTTTACCCTCAAGTATACCGAGGATCTTCAGGAGTGAAGCCATGCATGCACAGAAGAAGACAAACATCACAATTTAATGTAATTACTGATGACACTGTGCAGTGCCAGCTGGGCTAGGTTTAGTTGCTGCTGACTGTCCTGACAGTACTTCAACCTGTAGATTGTTTATTTTAACAGAAAGTTCTCTACACAGCAAGTGCTACTGGAGTTTTTATCCCTCAAGACACAGATGTCCCTTCTCCACGGACCTCGACGGGGTGAGGTTGGCCAGAAATCTTTAGTGCAGATCATGGCTTTCCATTTAAAATAAAAATGGGAGGTCGGTCGGCACAAGGTAAAGCTAATTCCACAGCTAATTTGATACTAGATTCAGATTAGACAAACTATTAAACAAACATTTATAAAAACCTAAAATGAATTAGGAGACTATACTGTTTAAGGGTGAATACCTAATAGGAGACTATACTGTTTAAGGGTGAATTCATGCAGCACAATGGCCCTCAGTCCTTTGTGAAGTCCAAAGTACATCATGTTTCAAAAACTTTAGTAACCTCCTAGTTAAGATAGTTTGCTCCTCTGCATTTTTTTTTCAAACTGTTAGCAATGCTAAACACTTGTAAAAGAGATTCATTATGTATATGGAATATTGTTATAATCTGTTATTTGATCATGTAAAGTTATTTTGTGTCTGTATTATGATATTACACCATCAGCCAAGCCAATACTCAGTGCCTAGACAGGTTCATTCATTGTGCACTATGGTAAAGCTGGCCTCACCTCCTCCCTGGCCTGAATGAAGGGCATAGCATTGTGCAGATGATGCCTCTGGATGCCACTCCAGCGTGTCCTGTAGTCGGTGACAGGCTGACACGGTCGGACGTATTTATCATACAGGACGTTTCCATGATAGTCCAGGATGCTGCAGCGGGCCAGCTCGCTGCAGCGCCCACCAGGCCCAGTGCCCACCATCTCACAGTCCAATGCCACCACAGTGGTCGGGCATGAGGTGAGGCACGGGGAACTTCGCCCACTGGCTGGAGGACTGGCCTCAGAGGAGAAACCACTATCCACCTCCCAGCTGTCTGTGAGGTGCTCAGAAGTCTTAGGTACAAACACAGAGAGTCCAGGTTTAGACGCATTAGTGCTTTTGTTTTCAGAGTTAGTGCTGTGACCTTCTTGCAATGCAATGCTTGGTGTTGTTTTGACCAGTTTATCCAGTGGTTCATTGTGCACGTCTGTTTGTTTCCTCTTCATGTTGCAGATGATTATCTTCTGGTGTTTCTTCCTAGCTCTGGCACTCTCCATAGCGCGAAGCATCATTACTTTTTTGCACAAATAGCGGTAGTTGAGAAGCCCCCACGAGGAGGCTTTATTCCTTTTCGACATGTCTGCCTTCACCAACCAGAAAAACTGGCCTTGCAGTCATTTCTGAGGAAATCAAACAACACGTAAAGACTATTATTCAGAAGGGAATTCTTGAGGCGAACACGCCATAGTAAGTGTGTAATTCAAATTATATCCTCTTATCTTAAAGAATATAACAGTCGAGGAATCAAATTCATTGATTTTAAAGAAGCAGTGAGAAATATCGGAGGAGCTGGAGCTGAATCCCTTATATTCAGAGCTAGACGTTAAGGGGCGACAAGAGCCACCAAACTCCGTTCAAATTTCCAGCAGGTTAATTATTAACCTTTTCTCGTGAAGTCTTGTTGTTGGCTTTTTCATCATTACCACTATGTTGGTAAATCCAACATACTTTCAGCTAACGTTCTATCTAGAGCCCACCACAAAAGCTTGTCAACAACTGATTAGAAAAGGCCGTGACAGAGTCGCTCCAGCTATAAAGTCCCCAAAAACTACTCGCTTATTGCAGTAACATATAGGCCGTATTGGACGCTTGCCCCAAATGGTCCAAAAAGGGGCGGCTCATCTTCTATGTAGTGTTTAACTTTACCAGTAGCCAAAGCAAACTTTAACTGGTAGATATTTTAGTGGAGTCTGGCTTTACATTCTGAAAAACCGGCTTACGTTTAGCTAGCGGAATAGTCACGTCAAAGGCATTGAACATTATTTCTTCAAGAAAATATCGTGTAATAATTTTGCCAAGAAACATACATATCATTTATGAATGTTACTAAAACTCTTTAAAAAGCAAACGACAGAGTAAATTGTACAGTACCTCATCCAACACGTGTAAAGTTCTGAACATGCCGACGCAAGTCGTTCAAGCTCTCCACCTGATTGGCTCGTTCTCTTCTTCGTTTACATTTTGCAGAAACCGTTCTACTGCCTATGGAGTCGCCACCTACTGGACCAGCGCGATATTCTCACGAGAATGACGTTTAAGAACGGCACAAAACTATCCATCCATCCATTTTCCTCCGCTTATCCGAAACCGGGTCGCAGGGGCAGCAGTCTAAGCAAAGATGCCCAGACCTCCCTCTCTCCAGACACTTCCTCCAGCTCCTCCAGGGGAATACCGAGGCGTTCCCAGGCCAGCCGAGAGACACACTCCCTCCAGCGTGTCCTGGGTCTTCCCCGGGGCCTCCTCCCGGTGGGACATGCCCGGAACACCTTCCTAGGAAGGCATCCGAAACAGATGCCCGAGCCACCTCAGCTGGCTCCTCTCGATGTGGAGGAGCAGCGGTTCTACTCTGAGCTTATCCCGGGTGACTGAGCTCCTCACCCTATCTCTAAGGGTGTACCCGGACAAAACTATCCACTTCAGATAAACACTCAAAGTTTTTCATTTTGGAACAAATGTGAAGATTTTCTGATTTAAATATTTTTTTCAAATCTCATTCTAATGGAATATCTTTAGGTTTTTAACTGTTGGGTAAACAAAACTATCTGAAGGCAGTACCAGTACCTACACTGAAGAAAATCAGTTACAGTCATGGCCAAAAGTACTGGCACTCCTGCATTTCTGTCAGATAATACATCAGGGGGTCAATAATTCTGTCCAGTCCATTTTTGGAGATCCGTATGAAATGCATCAGAGTTGCCGCCCCCCACCCCACCGTTTTTAGTGTTGTTCCAATGCAAACAAAAGAAATAAACATGAGAAAACCAAAGCATTTATGATGCAACAATTTTCTGCTTGTGCTTTGTCTGACAGACATGCAGGTGAACCAATACCTTTGCCATCACTATGTTCAACTATTTACTACTGTTCTGGATAATTTTTTCCTCCTAAAGAAGCCAAATGCAGTTACATTTAATTTTTTACATGTACACGATTAAACTTGTAAGACAAGAATAACATAAGCTATTGGATTTAAGGAAAATTGACAATTTTGGTAACTGATTTAACCAATTTGTGAAAGAATCTACTTTGCTTTATCTTTGTAAACTGACTATTTTGGGGGTTTTGGACTGTTGGTCAGACAACATTTGAAGATGTTGCCTTACACTATGATGTGAGAACAATTTTTCATTAACCTATGAAATACAAGTCAGCAGTTATTAGCTTAATTAAAAAAAAAAAAAAGAAAGAAAGTCAGGCAAAAAGGAAGCCTCGTAGTCTTAATTATCAAAATGCAAAAATAAAGCTGCGTCCAACTGGGACATAAATCAGCAATACTTGAATTGACCTGCCATTCAGATACAACATTTATGTTCATAAATGAGATCAGAGTACATTGTGGTTTTGTGGGCCTTTTTTTTTATTTCACAATCCTCCAAATGTACAAAAACAAAGAGGTGTTACATAAAGAACAAAAAAAAAAAAAAAAAAAGGATTCACCATTATCCCCTGTGACAACGACAACAACAAAACCCAAAGTGACAGATGACTGGAGTCAAACCAAAGTGTGTAGAAGACAGACCAGGGGAAATAATTTTTTAAAAGCTGTCCCCCTTCCCTAAAAATTTGTTTTGAGACATTGAGCAGGCCCTGACCACCACCTCTCCACTTCCACAGTTTCCCCAGAGCAGCGGAGGACCTAAAGGGAGGGCCACGTCTTTTCGACTTGGCTTCAGAGCATTCGGTAGTTCTCTAAGAGTGGAATATAATTTAGTTCTTTCTCTGCAAAGATTTCCCCAATCCTTGAGTTTCTGTTTGGTGCTCTTATAGCTCTGACTTCTCTTCATCCTTCTTCTTCTTCTTCTTCTTGGACTCCTCCTGCACCACCAAGGGGTTGGAAGCCTCCTTCTTCAGGTAGGAGATGAAGTCGCTCACCTCACGACCTCCCTGGAATGAGGGAGGTGAGATGGACAATTAGCAGAGTAAGTGCACACATAAATGCACTTTAAAAGGATGAGACCAGTCATTTTCTATATTAATTGTATTTTCAGCATGTCACCCCGTGCAGCGGTTTGTTTCACTGATGTGTTTTAATCAGTGTCGAACAACAGCGCACTGTGGCACAGTCGGTCAAGCTAATCCAGGACGCTCAGCTGACAGACATTAACTGTGAGTAGAGACGATCCATTGGTGGTTTCAGTATCTGCATGGAGATGGCTGAAAATACCATCAATATAGATAACTGGCCTTATCCTGTAATGATCACTCGAGTGGACTCTCACCTCATATTTCTTTGGGCTCGTCTTATGTCCAGCTGGGGAAAAGTAGATTGTGGGGAAGCTGGAAAAAAGCAAGAGATTGATAAGCATTCATATTAATAACATCTCATACTATACCAACATAGTGCTGATCTTAAGATAGGGAAAAGGTTATGCAATCAGTAACAAGATGCCAGAATTATATCTTTATATCCAGGGTTCCCACAAAACAATTTACTTTTGAGGCAGATGCTGACATCACTATTATTCATTGTTAAAAAAATATGCCAACCATATACTGGTTGAAAGTCTTTTTTTTTTTTTTACCAAAAATAATCTCAATACAAATCCCATAGATTTAAGAATTGTGACCAAAATATGTGACAGTATCACTGTGTCCAACTCAAATCCACTCTGGCATTTTTTTTTTATGCATCAGCCAACATACAGCAATAAGACAATATCAGCTGATATACTGGCTAATTTATCAGTCTAGCTCTAATTAACCTCCCGAACTGAAGGATGGCAAGGGTTTAAGACTTGTCCGATATTAGTATAAAGCAGTGGTCCCCAACCCCCGGGCCGCGGACCGGTACCGGTCCGTGGATCAATTGGTACCGGGCCGCACAAGAAATCATTAATTATTTCCGTTTTATTTATTATCTGAGTCTGAACGATCTTTTATTTTGAAAAATGACCGTATTCTCTCGGTTACATCTCGGTCACTTGAGCGCCAAAACTGGCTTACTTGTGCGACATATTCAGCCTGCTCAATGAACTCAATCTGTCACTTCAGGGGAAAATGACAACTGTCTTCAAGTTGGCAGATAAAGTAGCTGCATTTAAAGCCAAACTGGATTTGTGGGGACGGCGCGTCAACAGAGGCATTTTGGACATGTTTCAAACATTAGCGGGGATTTTGGGTGAGACTGAGCCTGAGCCTTCATTCTCCCAGCTGGTGCACGATCACCTGTCTTTGCTTTTAAAAGAGTTCGAGCGCTACTTCCCAACCACAAAGGACCCACGAACTGCCAAGGAATGGATCCGCAACCCATTTGTCAACAAACCAGGTGAATCCAGCAGGTCTGTGCAAGAAGATCAACTGCTGGAGATCGGAAATGACGGCGGCCTTAAAAGTATGTTCGAGACAACAACTCTGTCGGTGTTCTGGATTAAAGTCATGACAGAATACCCTGAGATCGCCACCACAGCACTGAAAAGTGAGACTTTGATGTTATACTCATGTTATGTAGTTGGCGCAATGTTACGAGGAAGCTGCTAATAAAGGTGGATATACGAGTACACAGTGGATTCACGTTTATTATAATATAAACAATCTACGTACACACCTGACCCCCCCGGGCCGCGGTAAAATTGTCACGCGTTGACCGGTCCGCAGTGATAAAAAGGTTGGGGACCACTGGTATAAAGTACATCTACTTTCCCCCCTTGTGACAGTTATGTGAATAAACCCTGAGAAACATGTCAAGCATTTTTTGTATTAAAGAAAATCTAAAGCACTTTGAGATGTTGTGAATTGTAAATTCACTTGAAGAATGTAGAAATTACACTAATAAAGTGTTGTATGTAATCTCTACAATCTGTCAAAGCTTAGAGAAGCCTGAATATTAGCGACTCACCCGCTGACTTCATATGGAGATGGCACATCGTTAGCTGTGGCGTCCATCTTGGCAATCACGACATTGGGATCATTGGACAGCTTTAAGAGCAGAGGAGAAAAAAAAAGGTCATGTCTACAAGCAGATTCAGAAAAAACTGAATAATTTAAATCCTTTTTCAAGCAAACATGTTGCAGTTTGTGCTTCTCCAACGCAGTGATTAGCTTTAGCTGCGCTGGAAGATCTTCCTCCATCTGGTGCAGCTCTAGCCTGGGTTTTCTTTTAGTGTGGACAATGCAGCCAAGTAATCCAACAACTGACTTTAATGCTAGTGTAAGAGCGCTAGTATAAAACAAGTCTATGGGTGAGAGAATTACAACCGATAGTCCTTCAGTTCCAGTATAGAGATCAAATCATACTGAAACTTGTGGTTCCCTTCACAACTAAACCGCAAACTGTTTCCATCAAGTTGCTGATGCTGTTAAGCCTGATCTGTTATAGCAAGTACAAAAGCACTTCACACCATTCTGTGGCTAACATCATGAAAATGCTTTAACTCCGATATTAAGTTTTGAGACCATTCCCTCACCTTCTCTGCTAGCTCTTTGTATTTTGGCTCCAGGTTCTTGCAGTGCCCACACCATGGAGCATAGAACTCGATCAGCACGTCTTTGCCGTCTTCGTTGACGATGGAGTCAAAGTTCTCAGCCACAACGACCTGAAGGCAAATGTGAACATGTTCAGGCCTTATGAATTAATCACCCTTTTTTTTTTTTTTTATAAACACCAGCACCGTGTCACGGATGCTTCCAATGCAATGTTATACTTTGCTAAATATTAAGATCAATTTGGTGGCGAAGCAGAAATTTTGTAGGTTTCTGACTTCACAGGCGGCAAGCGTGCAGAGGCAGTGTTCAGTAAATGAAATGTTAAATGTATCCATTACAGCAGGCACTTTAGGTCAATACTGAAAACAAAACAAAACAAAACAAAACGTCCAAACTAATCAGTTACTATATACCGGTACACACATTTGTTACATCTACCCACATTTGGTCAAACAAGTGATTAACCTTTATAAGTAGCTGGAGAGCAAAACAAAACAAACAAACAAACAAAAAAAAAAAACTAGTACACAACTTGCATTATGACATTGACACACCCACACTGTGCTGCATCATGTTCTGTTTGGTATTTAATCTGTGTACTGAAATAGTTTCTGTAATTTGTATTGGTTTTACACTGTTCCACAGAGCCAAGTTTTTTTTTTTTTTTATTAAACAAACACTTCGACTTGAGTAGTACATACAGCTTTACTCTGGTGGCTTTAGAAACATTAGGATGAGATTATACAAAACAAAACCTCTGTGGGAGGACAATCAAAATAAACCCTGATAATGGGCACACAATACACTGCAGTAAATGAGAAACATTTAATAATCTACCACCCAAATTCTCCAGACACTGAGAAGTGTGAGCAATAAAACATGGGACTGGTTTTGAATACATGTTTTATGACCTCAGATGAACTGTTCTTAAGCAGTAGGAGCGTAAACATCACTTCGAGACAGAGAGAGGATATGAAAAGATGTAGAGAGAAAACATGCCCGTGGGAACTCATAACACCCCATTAAAGACAAATGTACAAGCCCTCCCTACGTGACAGGCTTGAACAAAAGTTAAGAATTGTCAAGGATGTTTCATCTCACCTTGACAGGTTCATCGTTACTCTTGGGGATGGGCTCTGATTTGAGATAGCGCTTCAAACTGCCATCAAAATAGTCCTGCAGGAAACGCTCCAGAGCTTGTCCATCACGACTGTTGGCAGACAGATAACAGATTCAATAGACTCGTCCACTGAAAATTAAAATGAGCTCCTTACATATCTGTCCATATGTTCCCTCTCCTATAGGTATGTCTGGTAATATGTCAGATCATCACAACCTGTCAAACTCACATCAGTGCTATACAAGAGGACCTGAATTCAGCAGCCCCTAAATGGTATCACTGTAGTGGACTTTAACATTTGCCTGAGCTCAGTGTGTTGTGTGATGATTGTCAGCCACGCTGAATGTGCACATCGCTTTTTAAAATGTGAGCTTAATTTTTGTATGGTATGTTTGAATTGTTGCACTGTAATTATAGCCCAAAATAAAAATGACATCTGTCTTGACTTACGAGAACTCCTCAGTCATGACGTATTTGTCTCCCTTGGCGGTGCGGATGGCCACCACAGGCAGGTCTCCTGAGCTGCTGTCAAGGCCGAACTCAGACAGATCGTGGCTGAACGCATTCCTGTTGGCCACGGCGAAACTCAGCTTCTTGCCCTGATCCAGGAAGCTCTTTGCCACCTTCATCACCCTGTAAATTGTCATTTTGGTTTCTTTTAAAAGTCATGCTTTAAAAAAACAAAAACAAAAACAAAGTGGCATCTCAAATCAAAGGGAGTGAAAAGTTCAGCAAAATCCAACAATGAGGAAACCATGAGGTGTGAAGAGAGAGGAAGAGTTTAATTAAAAACTGCAGCACATGAAACAGAAAACAACAAGTGTTGCTTTCGCTTTCAGTGTTGTTTCTTATAATTTAAATGCCCCAGACAATAAAACTATGGTCTTCTTGTGCTTAAAAAAAGAGAGAGAGAGAAACTTAAGAATTAAATTTCCACTGAGGAGACAACAACCCTGGTGTGACTTAGGGCTGTGCAATTAATCGAATTTTCAATTTCGAGGCTCAACGATCACAAAAATGGTGTACTCGAGAAAAAAAAAAACAATTATTTCATTGGTAGAAGAAATTCTGTTGTCTGGGAACATTTTGCATTCGAAGAAGCGGACGTGGATCAAAAACATAGTACATGCAAGATTTGCCACGCGGTTGTGTCGGCACCGGCTGGTAACACCACAAATCTTTTCAACCAATTAAAATTCAAACACAGACCGACATATGATCAACTAATAAACAAACAGAAAGAAGGACACACATCCTCCGCAACACAGTCATCAATTAAAGACACGCTCTTCACTGCAACTCCGTATCCATCCAGCTCAGAAAGGCACAAAAAAAAAAAAAAAAATGTGAGCCGCGTCATATTTTTTCACACTCTGGACAAGCGTTATACTTTGCCATCTCGACACCATTTCATGAGAGTTGCTCTGCACGGCTTTTTTTCAAATAAAGCAGGCAGAAGTGAAGTATCAAAAGCAGAGTACTTCGCCACCACAACAGACCTATGGTGTAGCCGCACAATGGAGCCATATATTAGCTTAACACTACACCTCATCGATGCCGATTTCAATTTGAATGTAGAATGTTGTAAAATGTTTAGAATTTTTTCAGTTTGTTAAGGCACATACATGAGCAAACTTATTTTTGGACTAATTTATTTATTATTTTATTTATAATTTATTTATTACTTGTTTTTTAAAAAAAGTTGTGGAAGTGCACTACACATTGTTGGTCTTGTTTGCCTTTATCTGTTTTATCTGTCTTAATCTATTTTTCACTGTTCTGTTCAATAAATGCAACATATTTCCAAAGTCAATGAGTAATCGTGTAAAATAATCGTGATTTCAATCATGACCAAAATGATTGTGATTATGATTTTTTTTCCATAATCGAGCAGCCCTAGTGTGACTCCTACCTGTTCCTCCAATAGTTGGAGCCCTTGGGGTTTTTGTCATAGTCGACATCAAAATAAGCCACCAGCAGGTCTTTTCCCCTCAGCTGGTCTTTGTTGTCATCCGTCATGTGGGGGCAGATTCCAAGGCTGAGTTAAACAAAAAAAAAAAGCAAATGATCAGTATAATGAAATTTATACCAATAAGCTGTATTTGTTTAGTCGGTTATGGACAACAACATAGTCCAGTGGTACACATGGTTTACAGCATGTAACAAAGTCACCACAAAAAAAAAAGACAAATATGCCAAACATGGTGATATTTCTCTGACGAGTGTCTTTAGAGAAGATCAGAGGCTGGTGCAAAGTGAAATTAAACAAAAAATACAGGGGACTGATTTACAAACCATGCCACAACTGTTTGGAGAAACCCTAATAAACCACATGTAGTAATCGCTTCATCTTAAGTTTAATGAACATGTCTGTTGAATGTTTAAATTAAAGACAAAACACTTGTGACATCAACCCTCAATTTGAAATATAAAAATAAATTTATTCATTAAATCCTGGGGAAAATGTATGAATATTAATGTAAATTCCATTAACTTACAAAAACATACAAATAAATGAATTTCTAGTCATATCACATTTTCTGTGTTGTGTACTGGAGGCATATTAAAAATAATGCACTGAAAATCAGTAAACAGTAACAAAGGAAATAGCAAACTACTGAGCTTCTCTCACTCACACTCACAGAGAACATCCTGTCCAAGCCAAGAGTTGTTAAGAGCACTAATGTTAACCAAGGACTGCTTTACAATGCTCAGGAAACAGCAAATATGCTTTTTTATTTTATTAAAAAAAAAGAGACCAAACTATAACACTAGCACTCAAAATGTAATAACAGAATATAAGATGGAGTATACTTGTTTATCAGAAATGCCAAATATCTTTTGTAGGAGTCCAATTATATTACCCTGAGTTACAATAGTGGAGTGAAAGGTGAGTCTGTGTTTGCAGAGGGGACATCTCACCTGCCAATCAAGGTCCTGTTGGCACTGGGCCACACATGTAAATATGTACTGTTACTATGCAAGATGAATACATTTTCCAACTACTGCAAACATGCTTGGCAAATAAAACGAACCATCATCTCTGCCCACAAATACACGGATGTGAAAAGACAGGATGTGTACTGAGATAACGGTCTTCGCTCAAGAAAAAAAATCACTCACATGTTGTCCTGGATGAACTTCTTGATTTTGCTACTGGTGAATTGGTCTTCTGTGAATTTGACAAAGCTGTCTTCAAACTTGTTGCTGAGTCGCGGTGGACGGAACAAGACAATTCCCCTGTAAAACAATAAAGGAAATGGCACTCAAATCCTGATCACTGGGATAAACCTGCTGCACAAACAGAAGTAAGTGAACCATCACCCATGTTAAAAAAATAAAAGTATTTTGGTTGATGACTAGACCAAATGCAGAATGAGCTACTCACTCTCCGTCAATGCCCTGGCCCTGGAGGAGAGCTTCAGAATTGGTTTGGGCGAAGCGGTAGTTGTCCCTCAAGGCACTTGCTGCCTTCATGAACTCTGCCTGTGCTGTGCTCTTGTCATCAGCAAAGTACCCTGGGAAGGAAAGAAGAATCTCATGCAGATCAGCATGCAACATCCATTGGTGCCTTTGCTGGTAAGATAGTATATTGAGATAATGTCTGAGTTTAACAGTGGCTTAGAAAACATCCCCAAATTTATAAAGTGGACTGACATTTTCAACATTGACAAGTCAACATTTAATGCTTATGTTACTGCTAAGGGACATAGTAAACACAGAAACCAACTGCTAGGGATGTAAGTGGCTAAAATTCCAACAGTAACTCACCGATAACACTTGCATCTTGGTCTGCAATAAACTTCAGAAAGTCTTCCTCAGTATGAAGCTGAACAGAAGATGGGCCAGCCTGCTTCTTAAGGAAGCTGACAATACCATCTATATACAGAAGAGAGAAAGAGACATAAATAAATAAATAAATAAAAATGACCCCGAGAAATAAGTAGATATACAAAGAATTTGTGGCTTTTGAACACTTTGTACAGGTACACATACAAAAGAGTAGAGGCATATATATACCTGCACTTCTGGGACCATCATAGGGACCAGATTCCTCTCCATCTCTGAAGATCTTCAGCGTTGGGTACCCACTGACACCATATTTGCTACATGCGTTGCTGTTGGCTGTGCAGTCAACCTAAGGGGAAAGAAAATCATTCACTTTTTGAAGAGGTACAGCAAGCACTGCAGTACAGAGTGCACCACAGTGGACAAAGTTAAATGAACTGTGTTTTGCAATACCTTGGCCAGAGGGACGATGCCTTTCAGACGTGTTGCAGCTGCCTCATACTCAGGTGCTAGCCGTTTACAATGGCCACACCTAATGAAAGAGGATATGGATCAGTCTAATTGGGGAAACATATAAAAGAGACACGCAAGGGCTACTGAAGAGCAATTCCATTCAATACATAATGAAAGCATGTCACGGTTTGTGCCTTTAAAGTCATCAGAATAGCTCTGTCTGTCAGCAGGACAGCTGCCGGACAAGGAGTCTCTACCAGGCCGACCAACATGTGTACTGGACAAAGAAAGTTTCCACATAAGATCATCAGGAAGAAATCATGTTTTTATGTGGCCTATGAATTTAATGACCTCTTAGCATTTTAATTGAAAACTGTCATTTCTACTCTAGAAGTCGTATCGTACTCCATAACACGTTTAACATAAACATTTTAATAAACAGGATACTGATAACTTCCATTTTATTTAGGTTTGACACGGTAGACCCACGTCACATTTCCTCTACACCAATCAGAGGTGGACACCAAAACTTCTACGGCCAATCAGAACGTTACAACAATGAAAGGATACGCCCCTAACTTCCTCGTAGCCTCAGTTGGACGTAGTTTCTATTTAAAGTGCTTCATAGCAGCTGAAAACAACCAGTAAATTATGACTGTGCTACGTTTTAACAGTTTAACGTGTATTGTACTGTCAGAACATGGCAGTGTATGTAACAGCACACTTAAAAAAAAAAAAGACAGCTATTTGGCGTACACCTTTCCGCTTCTAGCTAACCTGCTAACGTTTGGATACTAGCCAATAAACCATACAATTTAAAACTAACGTTACCGAATCTTTTAATGTTAAAGGGAGACAAAGATAGTGTTTGCAATTTATACAAAAAATCACGAGCTTTAAAAACCCCCACAGTGATACAAGTTCTGCAAGCTAATGTCAGTTTGTTAAACTGTTAACCATGCAGCAAGGAAGCTAACGTTAGCTTAGTTCATTTGACGTCTGCAAACAGTATAACTGCTCTACACAAACCACAGAAAACTCACCAAGGAGCAAAAAATTCCACAAGAATGAGTTCATGGTCTCCAATCTTGCTTTCGAAATCGTCATCCGTGAATTCGAGCACATCACTGGCCATGGCCAACCCCGCGAGAGCGGCCAAAAATATCAGCCTCAACATCTCACACCACGCTACTTACAAGCTTCCTTTCCTTTTGACAAACAAAAAGAAGTTCGAAATGCAAATTAATCCAGTGGCAGCCCCTTATTCAGTTTTACAGCGAACTGAAAGTCGGAGCTCTTCAGACAGGACCCAGTGTAGTTTAGTCGATGAAGAAAGAGAAAGCGATATAGGCGTTGAAGATATTCATGCAGGCAGCGCCAACGCTCCTAACCTCATTGTGGCAACCTCCCATTGGTCTGTTTAAGACGTCATTCTGTCTCCTTCAGCCAATGAGAAGCACACAAAGGAGACCTATCGTCTCAAAACCATTCGCGATTCGGCAAAATTAAAACACCTCTCTCATACACGGAAGTTAATATTTCAATCGTTTACTGCATGGAAACGTTTTAATTAACTGCAAATAGCTTAAATTTGTCGATTGCAATTGTATTATTAACTATGTCATGCACATATAGATGTCCACTCCATAGACTTATAAGACAACAAAACTACGGGCGCAATAACATTAAAGTAGAGCAATGATGTAATGTAATTAAATATATGTACTCAAGTAGGCTACTATACTTAAATACAGTCTGGAGATACTTATACTCTGTAGGCTTAGTTCGGTACTTCCAAATTATGTTTATACTCCTATTACACTACATTTGAAAGGCAAATATCAATACATTTAAAAAGATATGTAATTATCAGGATTACTATATATTAAATGCCATGTACCATAAGTGTTTTCAGTTATGTGGTTGATTAAACCTATTCAGGTAGGCTGAATTTAAATTAGGTCAACATGTATTAGGCTAATAAGAAGCATAAAGCTGCAATTTTGTCCCACAACAAAACTAGGTTGTGCACAAAATATTAAAGACAACAGTAAAAATAAACAAGTAAATAGAAACAGTACACAAGTGCAAAAGTTAATGCTAATATTTTTGTTGTCATTTTCCAAAACCACCTAGTCAACAATACCAAGGATCAAACAATGAATGTTCAAGACTTTTTTGATCCATGATGTAAAGAATAAAGATGAAATCCAGGCAACAAACACAGTAAATACATACTGTATATCATCATCATTAACAAAACTGCTCTAAGTTAAACATCTAACTGCAACTGATGATTATTTTCATTCTTGATTAATCAGCTGATTATTTTCTTGATTAATCATTTAATTGTTTGGTCTATGAAACATAAGAAAATGGCAAGAAATGCCCACCACAGTTTCCCCAAGGCCAAGGCAATGTCATCAAATGTCTATTTATTATACACTTAGCAGCAAATTCTTAAAATTGAAAATAAATTTTGTTCAAAAAGTTGCTCAAACAGCTAATTCATTATCAGAATAGTTTTCAAAGTTTATATTTGTCAAATGTATTTTCTTTCATGTTGTTTTCATTTTGAGATTCTCCTTGGGACAGACTGTCAGCTCCGCTAGAAACAGGCTTTTCCAGCACATATCATATTTTATAATCCCTAGTGCTTTTAAACTGAGCACAACCTTGGTTTAGATGTCATATAAAAGGCAAAACACTTAGGTTTCTATAGTTTTTCTGCCATGCGTCTGTTGTGGAAAAATCAAATCCCCCTGGATTTGGTGTGCTGGGGTCATTTCTGATATAACAAGCAGTTCTCAGAAATTAATTAAATGACCTGAGTTTGTTTTCTATTGGTTCTGTCTATTGTGTCAATTCTCTGACAGCCAGAGGAGGAGTCTGGGTCAAAATGTGTCTTCTTTTGTTGTTTTGTCACTGCAACAGGAGATTACTGTTAAGGTTGTGCACTCACTAAACAACAGGAAAGCAAACTCTGCCCTCATTAGAGCAGCAAAATATGTTAGTGCTTCAAGATGATGGCAAGCAAGTATAATTATGATTAAGGCTGGAGTTTCACCTGGCCAAGAATCAGTTGGGTTTGTAATCTTAGTAACTGTAAATGTATTAAAGAATTTGTACCACTGAAAAACAATATAAAATAACTGCACTTCTGAATTATTACTTAATATTGAGGACCTGTTTCATATAGAGGCCCTGTTTTATTTCACATACATTTTTTGATCAGATTTACTACAAATTAAGTGATACACTGAAAAACTTTAGAGTCATGTTGTATATCAGAGGTAAGCTTGTTGGTTTTGGGTCTGTGGGCAAAACACTGATGCCGTCCTTTTGTGGGAACCAGAAGGAATAGGGTGCACAGTGTGTGGGACAGAAATGGGTGATGTGAGACAATATACAGTATATGCAAAAAATTATATGGTACCTTAAAGTAGTGCTTGTTAAACAAGAGCATCTGATATTTCTCTGACTCATGAGTTTTATTTATTTTTTTTGTCACTTGTTGTTATCTGATCTCATTTACTGGTTGTGTGGTTGTCTAGCTGTGAGTGTTCTCTGGCCTCAAGCTGGTTTATTTCTTATTTTCATCTTATTATAGGCATGAAAGCAAAATTAAATGTAGTGCAGAGTATGTACTGGTTGTTTCCCTTCTTTATAAAGCTGCAAGTATATAACCATGTCAGCAGGGGGCGCTCTCTGCGAGCACAGAGCAGTACACTGTCCATAGTCAGGGAAGTTAATACATTTAGTTGTCAGATCATTAGGTCCACCTAGCTACAAAAGAGTGTTTCTGTTATTTAGCCTGGCTTCACTGATATAAATGGGATGGACAAACTAGCAAAAACACAAGCAAACACTCTCCAAAATGATCACACAGTTGAATTATCACCTCTTATAAACAGATTCAACAAAAACTGAACATTATAATTCTCATGAATCTGGGGTTTATTGCAGAACTGTTGTGTTAGCTAGGTGTAGCTAATAATTTTATGTACTTGTATGTACTAATATACTAGCAACACTGTTTTTTAAATATGTTCCATTACTTTTATATGAATGCACACAAGTCATACAACACCTCAGTTGGTGTAGTAGATATTTATGTTTTACTTTTAAGTATTTGTACTTAAATATTATTATAATACATATCCCATTTATAGGACAAACTCTATTACAAACATGTTTTTGCTACTCTGGTGCCTAGTGAGATGTCCCTAATCCCAATCATAGGTTTGATTGCTTGCAAAACCCAATATAGCTCTCTAACCTGTTTAAGTGTCGTTTAACAATGTTTCTTTTAGCGCTTAGGCCTTCAGCACTTTTTCATTAAACTCTGGTCTCTTTTCTTTAAACTGCAGCTCTTGTGCAAACTTTGAAGTATACTCATATTACTTTTAGGGAGACAGATACAGACTGGTAGTGACATTTTTGAAAATCTGAGAGATATAATAAGTCATGAAATTAGGAATACTAAAAACACCAAACTGATATATTTTATTTAGAATATCATGTCAGCTGAACATTGCTCTTCACTCATCATAAGAACAAAGACAAATCAAAACATATCCAGCTGTGCAAAAAAATGGTGCACATCAAAAAATACTATATAGTCACACAATATTAAAATGTATGAGAACTTTATCTTATACAGTATTGTATATTTATGCATCATTTGTCTGCCATGTTACATTTATACTGAGCACAGAAAAAACAGTCTGCATTGAGTCTATTAAATAAGTAAATAAATATAAAATATGTGTCCCTTAGTCAAATGTGACATACAAACTTTGGTTCCTTAACAGACCTGTTTCTTTCAGCAGCACTTCAGTCCCCACATGTCTGTGGCTCAGACTTGCAGATCTGGATCCATGGCTCACTAGTGAGCTTTGCTAATCCTTTATACTAGAGCTGCCTTTCTTCCAGAGGAGCCACCGTTTACTGTAAACTTATAGTTGAGATGGAAACAATAAAATTAGATGAATATAAATTAAGAATCATACAGGAATATCTGCTTAAATTTGGTTTATATCTGGAAAAGACAGGCTGATGTGTTAGTGGAGCTGTGATGGCCAGAGTCGTGTACTAAAACAATATTGCAATACATAACAGTTTGTATTAGATCTGTACTGTTTCAACGTCCCTGATTGGACACCCTCAGTAAATGTTCTTTATATGACATTAAACTGACAAAAAGGGTTTGAAATTTGAAGGATCGCTCCTAAACTGTTTTAACATATGAACTGTAAAACCTTAAAAACATACCCTATGTTGGATAATTGAATGGTTAAAAGATATCTACAAATTTTAACTAAGTTTAATAACTTCATTTATAATTCATCTCTGGTTAAATGCATTTTAAATATGGATTTTAAAGGTAGTGTCATGTTGTGAATGCATGAATTTGACCACAGGCTACACAGATGCAGTTAATGCTAATCTGCTACTCGGCTAGTTAGCATTTAGCAGGACTAGTTTATTTCTTGTTGCATTGTCCCCTCCATTATAATTTAAGATGTAGCTAATCTCTTATGTATGTGGTATTACTAGAACATCGGATCATCAAAATTGATTTTTTGTTCTTGTGTTTGATTGTAACTGGCCACCTTATTATTTATTTATTTTTTACCTCTTCTTGCTCATTTTAGTTTTTTTTTTTTTAACTTTTTTGTTTGTTATGAAATTTCCTTGATACTTAATTAGCTATTTGCAGTTGTGACTGTACATGTATAACTATGCATGAAACAAATACTGCAAATCTTTTGAATTGCCCATGCTGTATTAAACATTTGATGAAGCAATAACTGTTTAACTCATTTTGACCAAATATTACTACGCATTCTCACCAACACCTAATCAGCACTGTATCCCAATAAACATAGTTTGTTACAGGACTGTCATCACTATTCAGTCACCATTTTATTCTAGGAGCCTGTGCTTATTGTATTGTGTCACTGTGTTGCTGTGCAGAAATTTTCTGGGCTGCAGAGATTTGTTTCCTGTTACCCACAAACCCTCTTCCTTCCCCCATTGGAGGGAGCCCCCATTGTCTCTGTGAAGTGGTTGCCAGGGCAACTTGCTCGCTCCTCAGTCATATCTGGAACAAGGAGGAGGAGGGGTCTGCAGTACGGTGCTAGTGACATGCCCTGAGTACTGTGAAAGACGGAGGTGGGGGGTTAGGATCAGATGCCTCCTCTAATCCTTGACGAGGGAGGAATGGATTCCTCGTGCTTCACGACACCAACACTTGACGTCTCAGCTGGGTCTCCTATGAACACTGACTGCCTTGTTGTCCTGCATCCAGACCAAAACACTGGAAAAATTGTTGCCTGTTTCATCACTGAAGACAATACATTTCCATTCATTCACAATGAGAAATATTTTCTGGTACCACCTTCTCAAATGTAATTTGGGGTTTTGGATGTTTGACTGGCCAAAACAAGCATAGAAGCTGAAACATTGGGTTATGGGAAATTGCTTTTTTAACCATTTTTTGACATTTTAGAGACTGATCGATTAATTTAATTAATCAAGAAAATAACTGGCAGATTAATCTGATTAATTCTATCTGTGGCACTCATTCCAGAGTCCACTTGCTCCTGTTGAATACACCCATCTGTCAGGTTTGCTCGGCCGCTCTGGCCTCCCTCACCTTTCCTACTGTCTCTTGCCCATTAACACTAATCACGTTCACCTGTCCCTCACTCCCTTATCACCAGCTGCACTTGATTAGGTTGCTCACTATATTACCTGGTTTCACTCCTCAGTCACTTGCCAGTTCGTTCTAGTCTCTAGGCCATTTTTTTTTTGTCTGTGCTCTTTCGCTTTTTGTACGTATTTATCCCCTAGCCAGCTACTGTTTTGTGTTCCCCCCATGGACTGTTCCTCCAGACCGTGGCTCCACTCTCCCCTCCCAGGCAGGTCAAGGCTCAGTCGCCTATCTGTTCTACTATTATCATCTCTCTGTCTCCACCTTCAGTAGCCACCATCACCACCGACCAGCCCAGTGACCCAGCCTACGCAGCTCGGCCCAGCTCTCCATCTCCTCACCTCCTACTGTTGGTCAACACCCGGTTACTACTCATCGACAGGACTACGCACTATTTCCCTCTGTGCATTTTGTTATTTCTCCTCATCACTGTACATAATAAATCAGTGCTTGCATCGAAGTCGGCTACCTGGGTCCGCCTCTTTCTCGTTCGCTCGCTGACAGGTGCGAACGGCACATAACACCATCTTTAAAAGTGGATCACAAAAATATACTTTATACAGACAGCCTCAGTAGTTTAAACAAGGGTCCTAAAATGCTTAATTCAGATATTTTAGAGATTTAAAGGCCTTTTGCTGTGTGTGAAAACTAGAACTTTGTGTACCAGCTTTGTAGCAGAATACAATTTTCTTGTGCTCTGACCAAACATTGTCACATGACGCTCTGCAACAATGCTTATTGCAGTCTTGCTCCTCCAGCTTGGTTACCATGGTTACTTAAAGCTTGCTCAGGCAAAATCCTCTTGGATACCAAATGTGTAGTTCATGTGGAAACAAAAAAAAGCAATGTTTCATCAACAAATGAGAGACAGACAGAAGAGGAGGAAGAGTTACTGTTAAATAGATGACTTCTTTAATAAAAGACATTATAGTGTGACATTCAGTGATGAGCTGGAATGATATTGCTGCAGTAGCTTACAGTACAGAGCCCAGCCTGGCCAGAGTGTGTTTTAACATCACATGTTGACACCAGTGTGCCATCGAACATACACATCCATAAGTCATTTGGAATCCAAATCCACTAAAAATGGTAAAGATCTAGTATGTACACACAATCTATAATGGAGAGTATCGCAAAAATGGATGGACTATACAAGCATCAGATAATGGGCATGACCAAAAAACATACAGAAATGAGGGGAGGAGACAGGCTGAGCGTAGGACATGCAGCAAGGAGGAGGGGCTGAGGCAGGGCAAAGTCAGGTTTTGTGGGCTGAGGAGTGGTTGTGGGAGCACAGCCATAGCTACTGCTGACCATGCAGACAGGAAAACTGGCAGCCATGTTTGTTTCTTTACAACAGACTACAGCTTGTGCATCATTCATTAGTTTTTGCTGCCAATTTAGAGCTTGGTTTGGAGTTGAGTTTACAGATAAAAACTGTGAAGTGCATCTGCAACATACTTAAGTCCACTGCAATATTCTGGGACAGCATACAATATATGTAGATTATATTATAAAGAGGTATACTGTGGGGCAATGACATAGATATTTATCATATCTATGGGCGCAGGGTGAGGTGCTTGTGCATGTGCCCAGAGGTTTGTGGGGTGAGGTCAGAGGTCAATGTCTACTTGAACTGCTTGATGGGTGGAGGCACCTTGATGTCCTGGCCTTTCTCCAGCTTCTTCTCACACTCGATCAGGTAGTTGACACCATCAATCACCGTCTGCACCAGTTGGACCTGAGAGTGGTATCAATACTTTATTTCATTTTCAGATAAGAAATACACAGAAATAACATATGATACAAACTCTAAGACAAACTAGCGTTTTGTTATTTCCAACACCTTCTTCTAGTCCTAATTAAGTCTGAGAAAATAATGCTGGCGATATCATCAGGTTTAACTTGACTTGTGTTTGAATTCAAAATTATAGCAGAAAATCTGTGTTAAAAACTAGTAGCACGGAGTTTGAAAGACATAACAAAAATATGCTATGAGCTGCATTACGGGAAATGTGCAGTAGGAGCTAGTGTTTTCTGAGCTTGACTCATACTAGAGAACAAAGTCAAGATAACAAGCCCAGCCCTTGCTTTTGCAATTTTGACCACATAATCTTTACCTGGTGAGTTTCCTGACAATATGGAAGTCCAATACCAACTCCCAGGTGTACCCCTTTAAGGCTATAACTAACAGAGCCTTCTCCAAATACGGGAACTGTCAGTAGCCTCAGACACAGGGTTTCAGATGTCTGCTTTACAACATACAGGCCTATGATTCTGCTTTTGAGATCCAGATTGACAATCTAATTTGATGTACAGTAAATGAATGCTGAGGCTGAAACTTTCTTTACCTAAGCTCTTATCTTGAAAAGTTGCATACTACTACAATATTGTCCTGCACTTCTTTCTGTGGTTTCCACATCCATTAAGTCATGGACCCCACCCTGAGACTGCTCATCAGTCTGGGTGATGCAGCACTGTGCAGCCCACACTCTCAAAGACAAACATCTAACAGAAATGGATGTTGCAGAGAGACATTATGCAAAAGTAAGAAAATTAGATGAGTGGTTCTAAACCTGCACCAAACTGAATGTTAATTAGCTAACTACAGACCACCAAGAAACCATTCAGTGTGACACTTATATACGCAACCACATACTCATGTTTCAAGGCCACAATATACTAATCCCTGGACATAGGAACACAGCTCAACCTTCACACTAAGGTGGCATATTTGAAACAAATTAAAGCTCCAAACACTGCTTGAGGCTTTCAGAGAATATTCACTCAGCAACTGGCTCCCACGAACCTGCAAACATCTGATCAAAATACAAAAATCCCATCATAACATCTAAGCCACAAAAATTGTGCACTGTTACACAAAAACTGTCAATGCAATGAATTTAAAACATAGATCACTATATTATTTTGAATACACAAGTACTGTAACACTTGATTAAACATTGATTATCACTGATCAATCAAAATGTTTACTTTATGTGTGAAGCCATTATTTTTCCTTTTCTATAAACTCAGCAGCTCCTCTCTTTTTTCCTTCTTCTTACAGAAACACACAAGCCTGCCTGCAGTTCCTCTTTTGTAGGGATGTGTCTGCTAACTTCCCTTATTCAAAGAAAAGTTCCTCCTTTCCTTAACTGCAGTATTGATGCTGGTGTGCTGACGTCTGGTCCATGGGCCTGCTTGGGCTTTCTTCTTGGTATAATTTATGATCACCTTTGATTCCTTCTGTAGACTTATACTACTGTCTCCAGCTATCACTGCTGTCCAACTCTTGGCTCTCCTTGACACTCACAACAATAGAGAACCGCAGTATCACACTGTACCTCACACGTACGTTACAGCACGACCAAGGACATAACAAAACAAACTGCATGTAGAGCCTGGACAAGAACACTCCTCTCATTGCCTTTCTTTCACTTTCCTCTCACAAATCAGCTTTAGCTTCCTTTGTTCTGGAAAAATAACTACACTCTGTGCCACAATAAACTGCCATTTCTGCTCCACCAAAAACTCACTGGGCAGTGGTCCAGTTGCTGTCTGACACGTTACTAATGTCTCCACAATAACATGGTTAAGTGCACTTTAAATACCTCACCATGATGCAGTAAATGTTCTGACTATTGTTTATTCAAAGAGAATTTACTGAGAAAACATGTCACTGATAATGTGACGCCCAAAGAAACAACTACAGGTACAGTATGTAATAAACAGCTGCAGTAGAGCAGTTTGGTGGGCGGTTGCATTCCTCTGCTGATGAAATATAGGCAATTACTCATCCTCATCTTCACTCAGCCTCTATCTCTGTTTATTTCTATTCCGGTTCTCCTACCTCAGAATGTCCCAGGCGGTCCAGGTTGGAGATGTCGAACACGCCACCCACGGCGGCCGTGTCCACGCCCCCCGTCCCACGCTTCTGCAGGCGCAGGTTGTCCAGGATTTTACTGAAGCGGGGATCCTGGGAGATGGAGGACAGGAGTTTTCAGGACAGTCTCACTTTGTTTAACATATTAATCAGCATGCAAATGAATTTTTTTCCTTCCAGATGTCTGTAGATGTTATTCAGTTGTCAACAACTTTTACCATCAACATTTAATAAATTAGAATCTTATTTAAAACATATATAAAACACTTATAAAACAGCTTATGTCCAGGTCAACATGACTCACAAAGGTTCTGAAATTATCTGGCAACTCTTACATCATTTTCAAATATTTTTTTGTAAAACAAATACAATTAAAAGAAAACCTATTTGTCATCTGTAGTAGCCATACACGATCCAGGTCTAGTAGTTCGCATGCATGTAATAATGATATGAAAAACAATGTTGACATGCTGCCGTTTTGGTGGCACAAAAAGTATAGTTCCATCCCCCAGAGGTTGGCGATATTTATTTTCAATCACTAGGGGTTAACATTGTCTGATTTGAATAAATACTGTTTGGTTGAATTTAACTTGGTTATGATATATACCCCTTTTTGCATGCAAGTTTAAAATAGCTCCAATAGAAAGCACTAATGAATATAAACAAAATATAAAACAATGTTTAAATGGAGACATACAGTCTTTTGCAGGGACTAACTAGAATAATCACACTGGTGTGATTGTATGTCTCAAAGGGTTAAATCAAGCATTTATGGAGTGCTTTAGAGGAAATTTCAAAAATATTGAGATATATTGTGTATCGTGATACAGCCTAAAAATATCGTGATATTTATAGACCATATCGCCCTGCTCTACCGCTCTAACATCCCCCCTTGTATACTGAAGTATAAATACTGAATTATCTAACTATTGTGTTACCTTGCTGAGCAGGGGCAGTTTGACATGGACCCCGGCTCTGAGCCCCGTGCCCAGGTTGGAGGGGCAGGTGAGGATGTAACCAAGCCTCTCATTCCACATGAACTCCCAGCCTCTCTCCTGGATCAGACGCTCCACCTTAGAGGGAGACAATTAGTCACAACATAGTGAGTGTGTTTTTCAGTCATACAACAATCTCTGACCTTTGGTCCTTTTCCTGGATGTGTACGTACTGTTCATAGACAGCAAACTGTCAGCAGCTGTTGATTTTTCATGTTTCACAGCTGACAGGTAAAGAATGGAGAGTTGTTGAATTGTAGGAATGATGCATTAACTCTGGTGGGAATGGACTGACAGAAACACTGCCATAATGTTGGAATTAAACTAAAGCGAATGTAGCAGAGGTGTATCGTTCAGAGCTGTCGCACCCTCAGCGTGCATCAGTGCAGTACCAGATGTTGCTCTACTTGTCCTTTGCAATTTCCCAGTGGGGAACTGCTTGGATAAATAATTTATGTTTGCATGGCCATGTTTGGACAGTGTGTTTTGTGTATCTGTCTACAGGCTGTATGTTCATAGCAGGGCAAAGATCAGTGCAAGCAGTGTTTTGTCAGGTTTGCCCGGCTGCACCTGCCTCTCTCACTTCTCTCCCTCTATTTTAGCTCCCTTACCCCTGATTTCTTTATCTGACACACCTGCTTCACGTCACTGAATCACCACCAGCTGCACCTGATTAGTTTCTTCCTATTTATACTGTGCTCATCGTCTACTTCCCTGCCAGTTCTTTCTACGCCGATCTATTATTTTTGTCTACTATATGTATTTGCTCACATTCTTCATCCCAGCTCCGTTCCTGCCTTGTGCCCCGTGTCTTATCTTTCCCGCAGCTATCGCTTCGTCGAACCACGGACCTCCTCAACTCCACATCACTCCACCACGCAGGTCGATGCACAGTCTCCCATTAATTGTTTCTGTGACTCTGTCCCCTCAGCAACCATCCACCACGACCAGTCCAGGAGTGAATCCCAGCGTCCGCAGCCCGGCCTCCTCCTTATCATCTTATCACTGACTGTATGTTTTCCCATGTCTGCCGCTCGACACCCGGTTCTGCTCCATTTTCCTTCACCTGGTTGTACACATATTTGTTATCATC